GGCACTGATAAATGCTTGCTGAAAGAATGAAAGAATGAATGGCAATTGATATTTATTGCTGTTAGGGGTGAAAGTTCTACAACAAGTAGTTACATTGCCTTCTCAGGAGTTTAACTCAAGTAAGAGTCAGACTTGACATTAGTATGTTCTTAATCTGTATTTACCTCAGGCAGAATACAAGCTCTGTTCAAACACCACCAGAAAATCTTCATAGAAAATCCCATATCCTGTCTGCTACAAGAGACGCCTATTCTCCTCTGTATATTATACCAGCTCTACCAGCTGACTTTTTTTATTTTTTTTTTCTACTGAAGTCCCCTCTAGTGATACAGTTGGATGCTGGCTGCCTTAACTCCATCCTTTTCTCTCAGCAATTCAATGTCACCAATATAAATGATGACCAAACCAGAGGTGACACCTGGTGCCCTCTGCGCTGAAGCAACAACAGAAGGTTATTGCAGGGATTTTTGTGGTTGCTTTATTGTAGAATGCTTGGCTTTTACAGTGTTAGCCTTCATAGCCTTCATAGCTAGCCTATAGAGTATGTTAGTCTGCATGGTATTTTTCTAAAATATTTTTTAAAAAAGATTACTTGCTAATAATTTAAAATTATGAGATTTCAAATAAACATCTGTATTTCTTCCTTCTCCTCAAAAATAAAAGATATGGTGCAAATGGTTAATATTTCTTATGACAAAAATAAGTGGAGCTGAGAGGTGTTCTACCATAAGTGGGACATTCATTGTTCCCACTCCATCATAAATCCTGCCACTCCCAAGCTAGTTGAGATATTGCAGGCCTAGACTCAGATTCTACTTCACATTTATGTCGGAGCTATTTGGTGTTATCACCCCTGACATACTTTACTCATTCATAACCTGCCTAACTCTATTAAATTTGGAAGTTCTAAGTCTATTCGTAAATAAATGACTAGGTAAAAATATGAATTAGTATCTATAGCAGTGCAAAAAGTGACTACAAAACTTAGCACCATAAAGCATTCATTGTCTCACATGGTTTCTGTGGGTCTAGAATCTGGGAGCAGCCACGTGGGAGGTTCTGGTTTGGAGTCTCCCTTGAGGTTACTTTACAGCTGTTGGCTTGTGCTAAAATCTTGACTGAGGCTAGAGGTTCAGCTTTCTAGATGACTAGTTTACATGGCTGCTGGCTGGAGATCTGCACTTCTTCCAACATGTACTTCTCCATTGGACTGTTTGAGTGTCCTCAAAACATGTCAGCTGGCTTTGCCCAAGGACAGCGATCCAAGAGAGGGCAAAGAAGTTCATGTTTTTTATTAAAGCCACATATCATCACTTCCGCCTTATACTCTCCACTAAAAATGAGACACTACCCACGATTAAAGGAACGAAAGCTAAGCTCTGCTTATTAAAAGGAGAAATAGTAAAGTGTTTATGAAACATATCTTGGTTTAGAGGTCTTGACTGAGTCATCAAATAATTGCTTTATTTTGATCTGAGTACTATTCTAAGTAAAACTAAGAGCCTCGAGTGGTTCCAATTTATAATCCTTGAGGTTTAAAAACTTGCGCAAAGTATTCAAAGAGATTTTTTAAATTCAGCTTTAGGATAAACTACTTGTAAATTTTAGTGAAAGACAAACTTTCAGTTACTTATCATTCAGCACCTATGTAGCGTCTTTGGGGAACCGTCATACACTTGTATATACTAATCACTTCATAGCACAATGACTTGTTTTCTGGATGTGTAATTTCAGGATCACTGTAGACAAATTTCTTTTTAAACATGTGTAACTGCAGTCTTCAGTAATCCCCTGGATATTGGTGAGGTTCCCGTGTTTTACTTTTTCATTGCCTTTATTATATGACTGTAGTATTCAGCCTGAGCAGCAAGCAGGTCATCACATTTTTCTTTTTTCTTCTCAAAGAGAAAGGCTGGAGGTTTTGAAAGAAGGAGAAGCCTGAGGAGAAGAGAAAGTTTAAAACCAAGCCAGAAAATGTTATAGAGATTCCTCCCCTGATTCTCTTTGGTTATGGACTTTCAAGTTTAAATTCTCAGACTGCTAAGTGTATATCGATTTGTCCAGTTAACATATTGCCAGTAGAGGCATTAGGAAGTTTTTTGTTTGTTTTGAAGCTGAGTCTCACATTGTCACCCAGGATGGAGTGCAATGGTGCGATCTCGGCTCACTGCAACCTCCACCTCCCGGGTTCAAGCAATTCTCCTGCCTCAGTCTCCCGAGTAGCTGGGATTACAGGCACCCGCCACCACACCTAGTTAATTTTTTTGCATTTTGAATAGAGACGGGGTTTCACTATGTTGACCAGGCTGGTCTCGAATTCCTGACCTCATGATCTGCCTGCCCCAGCCTCCCAAAGTGCTGCGATTACAGGCGTGAGACACTGTGCCTGGACAAGAGGTTTTGTTTGTTTATTTGTTTTAAATATTTATTCTTTATGTTTCAGGGCTACTCAAATTACGGTGGCAAAAAGGGGTATACTTACACAGCAACTTACTTGTTAAGAGAATTTTAATTTCTGCAAGGTGGGGTTCCTCTGCAAAGTTGATGTCATATCAGATTCACAGGGTTGACACAATATGGGCATTATGATCTCACTCAAACTTTCTCCTTTCATTTATCAGTTGACAAACCTAACAGATGTTACTTTTAGCTAAGATAGATACCTGTTCCATTTTTTGATACTATATTTACAGCATTGAGCTCTGTAAGTTTAGTCTTCATTTCCTACTCAGAACATGGGCAGCAGAAATATTAGCAGAAATAAACCTTTATAAAGTCTTAAATATTTCTACGAGGCAACAATTTTATTATACTTTGTTCCCTTAAAAGTCACTGACTTTCCTTGAAATGTTATGCAAGATTTTTAGCACCTTTCCTCTAATTTATTGAGTTCATTGTTTATGCTATTTGCTAGTTTGGGTTTCATAAAGTATACTGGAAATAAGTTTTTGAAAACATAACGTGGGTGATGATTTAGAGACTGTTGCAGATTACTCAACTGCTTTCGGAATTTAAACTCTGTTTATTTTTATTTAAAATATGTGCAAAGACTCATAAGACAAAATATTAGTGTTCATTTTCCAATACTGAGTAATATATTGCTTTTTAAAAAAGTCATCTTATAGACACTATAAAACAATTGTCAATAAATTCCTACTGTAAAATAACCTATTTATCAAGTACAACCCTTTTGTTTTATATATAACTTCTGGATATATACAAAGAAAAGAATGTCAATATAATGCTATATAAATAGCACAGAAATTGCCCAAAGACTCAAAAGAAAATTGGAGACTTAAATACAAGATGGTTTCTTTTTTACAGATTTAAATTCCTCATCTGAAGAAAAACTATTAAAAAAAAATCTGATTCTAAGAAATAATTTAGAAACAAAAAAAAGTAAGAGGTATAGCAGAAGGACAGTAGTTTAACAATAAGCTTAAGCAAATGAAAACCACTAAACATCTGATGAAGTATTCTATCACATATCTGGAAATTCCCAACTAGGGAAACATAGAGAGTGCTTTAAGGACCAAATTCACAGGCATCAGATGACAACTTTGACATTTCTATAGAATTCTACTTTTCAAAAAGTACATTCGTTTAGAACTTCAGGTGATTCTCACAACTTTGTGATATAGGCAGATAGAGTTTCACGTCTATTTTCCCTATAATAAAAATTGAAATAGAGATCATCTTAATACTTAAGTTTTTCTAAAACAATCTCCTTTTTTCCTTCATTCACGAGAGGAAGACTCATTCTTAAATAATAATTTGCAATATTTAAACTTTATTCACCTTCATCTAGATATTTTTAATTTAATAGAAAATCAAAGATAAAAACATATTTTTGTCTAGAAAATGGATTCCCAAATCTGTCTCAATTAACCACGGTTTATTAACATATACTCATGAACATTAGTAAAAAATATATATAATAAAACAAAAGCAACAAAAATACCCTCACAAACCTGAGAAATTAAATGTTCTCAAATGGCTAAAAGATTTAGAATATAGAATTGAAAGGTATAATTTTTTACCTATATAAATAAATATAAAAATGTATTCAAATGAGATTTTCATAAATTGTATAAGTTTTTAAAAGTTATTCTGACTATATCACAATATTCAGAATTATAAATATTAAATAATTTTCTGATTATCATTCTGTAACCAAATGCAATTACTGAAATTCTATGTAGATTATCCAGTTCTCACACCCTTCACCTACTGCGAACTTCAGCTTAGAGTCAGCCATTCACTAAATCAAAACTCAGCCATCCTCACCAAAGAGTTCTTCTTTATGCTATCCACTCAACATCTTTTGAAAAATTCAAACTATCTTCTTAAACTGAAACTTACATTTCAAAAATGAGCTTCTAACATCAATATAGTGGAGGTTAATTATTTGCTCCATGGCAGCCATACCTCCCTTTTAGTTTCCTAATCATTTTACTTACCTGGCACCTTTTTTTACCCAGAAGATCGAATTCAAAGGAATGGAAATAAAACTCAAATAAGTAAAATTTTTACTCACTCTGAAACACTGAAAAGAATTATTCAATGGGAAATTATTTCAATCATTGGTCAAATGGACCCTGTTGTCTTGTCTTTTGAATTCTATCTATGGATCAAGCTGTTCTTTATTAAATGGAGATAAGCCAGGTTTGACTTTATCGTGACAAATGCACAAGGCCCTTACACTTTAGAGGACTATAGTAGAACACAGAAAATAACAATTATAAAATAATATAAGTCATAGTACACCAAAAATCAGTAACAGTAAAGTTAGTATTGCTAACGCTAAGTTTCTGATTTGGATAATCTTATAAGTCTGTTTGCTAAAGAGGAAAAGAAGGAAGAGAAGAAAACCTCACAGAAGTGTGCAATTTGAATGTAGTTCTGGTGTTAGTAGTAACTTTCCTAAGATTTTAACAAGTCATAATAAATCAGCCCTCATTCAATACAAAGCAACCAAGCTATAGAATCATTTCACTTACCCATGATGGTTAGGGCTGTAGCTTTTGTTAATTCTTCTTTCATTGACTCGATTACTTCTAAATTACCACCATCCAGGTTGCATCTATTTATGGTTCCATTCCCCGAACTGATCCAATAAAGCTTGTTTTCCACATAGTCTATCGATAGACCTGTAATTAAATTTTACAACTTAAACATAATGATAGCCACTTAAATTATAATATTCACCTAGCACCACTGGATTTGAGGGCAAAGAATAAGTTGAAAGCTCAGATTTTTGTCTTTACAAATAAGATCTGGCAAATAGGAAAATAATGTTGTTTTCATTATTTGTTGTTGTTGTTGTTGTTTATTTTTTAGAGACAGAGTCTCACCCCGTCATTTAGACTGGAGTGTAGTGATGCAATCATAACTCACTGCAGCCTCAGACTCCTTGGATCAAGCAATCCTCCCGTCTCAGCCTCCTGCATAGATAGGACTACAAATGCACACCACTAGGCCCAGCTAATTTTTATTTTTCATTTTTTTTTAAAGAACGGGGGCTCACTATTTTGCTCAGGTTGATCTTGAACAACTGGGCTCAAGGAATCCTGTCACCTTGGTCTCCCAAAGTGCTGGGATTACAGGCATGAGCCATGGCACCCAGCCAACATAAACAGTTTTAACTGACAGAGAAACATTATACTTTTATAGGCACTTAACAGTTATCTCTATGGTTTACTGACCTAATCATGTTCCTCTGAGAGAAATGACAGTTCAATTTTACAGATACAAAAAATAGTACCTAGAGTAGATAAGAAATCTGTGTTCATAGCTAGTTAGTGGACATTCCAGATATTTTTAGAAAGTTTCTGTTTCCAAATTGAGTGCCTGCCCTCTTCATTATGCCACTTTGCCTCAGAAAGTTTTAATGTGTAATGACTCATTCGGGATACTAATTTAACTGATGAAATTTATAATTACTCATCTATTTTCCATAAAATTTACTTAGGCAGTTACAGATTTAAATTGGTGATTTCATCCCTCTTCAAGTAAATCCAAAAATGGAAGATTTTCAGCAAATAGTAATTTTACCAAAGCACAGAATTAAAATGCGCTCATTTGGAGGCTGATATGGGGGAGATAAATCTTTTGGCAAGTGACTGAATCAAGTCGATGGCTTAAGACGCTAATCTCGACATGGCACAATGTGTCACTGGAGGTAAGGCTGGGCTTTGTTGTATTTTATGGGCAACTTCACATATTATAGTGGTGGCCATCATTTTCAGAGGTCTCAGGGTAGGTACTTTTTGTTTGCTAAAGGTCCTTGGCACACATCTACTTAACTACTGGCATGCTCAGCAGCATCAGTATCCACATTTTAACAATAACTCTGTGGAACCATGTTGGCCTTCTGTGATCCATAATTACTCATGGAAAAGTGCATGTGGGCATATACTCAGGCAGACAATGCAACCAACTGTTCCTGGGATCTCTCTCAGAGAATAAAGTGGACAAATCACAGATAATTCCTTCCCTTAAAAAACAATGAAAGGAAGGAAGGGCAGATGATTGAAAAGACGCACAGATTCAGGTGCATTGAGAGAAGGTGAAATATAGCCTAATAATTCTCAATTACAGGGATTCCCAGGACAAAGAATGTGAATCATTATAGGCATTTAACAGTTATCTCTATGGATTAGATCCTCTTTTTTTTTTTTTCCCCCCTGAGAGTTGGGGTCTCACTCTGTTGCCCAGGCTAGAATGCAGTGGCACAAACATAGCTCACTGCAGTTTTGAAATCCTGGGCTCAAGTGATCCTACCACCTCAACCTCCTGAGCCGCTGGAATTACAGGTGTGAGTCACCTTGCCTGGTTCTTTTACTTTTTCTTTTAATACGTGTATGATTCTATTTTTGGAAAGACCAAGGTAAAGCTAGTTTATGCTCAGAGTCAGGATGTGTGGAATGTGAGGTAATGATTGGCCACGGGGCTACTGTGTTTCTAATTAAATTCTGTTTCTTGATCTAGGCACTGGTTATATAGGCAAATTCATTTAATCAACATTCATCAAGCCATATATTTAGGATGGTTTACTTTTCCATATGTATGTGATTCTACCATATACAGTTTATATTTAAAATGTGGGAGGAAGCTAGGGAGTACATAGGAAGTGTAAACAAAATAAATAAAACCTCCTAAATCAATTCAATACACAATGCCAAGGAACTTAAAGAAGTGGGGGCTTCACAGAGGAAAGAATTTTGTCTCTCTCTCTTTTTTATTTGGATCTGAGTTCACCCAGAATCTATTATTCAATGTCTTTGCTTCTGGACTGTGACTAGAGGAAGCAGACTTTGTCATAGTCAGCTTATTATATTTGCTGTCTAGCATGATGACTAGAATAGAGAAGAAAATTAATAAACATCAAATAAATGGACAGACTATTTAGCTAATTCCATTATGAAACTATAGCTTGTTTTCAAAGAGTTCTGCCTAGGAAAGTTTAGCTATCTTCCCAACTGATTTTTTTTTTTTTTTCTTTCAGATGGAGTCTTGCTCTGTCGCCAGGCTAGAGTGGAGTGGCACGATCTCGGCTCACTGTGACCTCCGCCTCCTGTGTTCAAGTGATTCTCCTGCCTCAGCCTCCCAAGTAGCTGGGACTATAGGCATGTGCCACCATGCCCAGCTAATTTTTGTATTTTTAGTAGAGATGGGGTTTCACCATGTTGGCCAGGATGATCTCGATTTCTTGACCTCCTGATCTGCCCACCTTGGACTCCCAAAGTGCTGGGATTACAGGTGTAAGCCACCACACCTGGCCCCAACTGAATTTTTTAATGTACTACTTATACCCAGATACTATAACAAGTATAGAGGAAGAGCAATGATTCAACAGCTCTACTTAGTATGGCTTAAATATTTAAATTAATTTTAACATTGAATAGCATCAAATTAATAGTTTTAAGGTTCACAAAAACGATATTTAAAGTTTCTCTATTAATCTCTCTATATATATATGCACGTGATGCATATCACATAACTCCTTCATTGTATCTCCTTTCTTGTTAAATATATTAGCTTAACCCTTAAATGTTCTTGGGTGCATGTATTCTCAGGTTCATAAAATAGAATTGCAATGCTTTACATTATTATTATTAATTTTAAAAACTGGTGACATGTGCTTTATATTCATAGTATAGATATATAGAGAAGTATAATACATATCTCTGAAGTTTATTAATGCAAATGTTTTTGCATCATAAGATTTTTCATTTTGTTATTATCATTCACTTAAGTCCTAACAACACTAAATGATTAATTGGTATATATGGTGTTGGAGTAATTTCTGAATCAGTTCTCTGTTCTGCTAATATTTTAAAAAATGAATCGCTAGGCAGTGAACAAAATTGTTTAATGCAATTAAAACTACTCAGTGATGTTAGAATGCCAAATCAATACCCATGAGAAAACAGGTCAAACGTGAGCATATTTATAAAACTGTTTTGGAACCTATGCAAAGAAATATAATTATGTCTGTACTAAAGGATCCTCAGAATGGATGACTGAAATTTGAAAATCTTCAAAAGGGCCATAGAATCTGTCTAAAGAACGTATCAATTGTAACACAGTCTTGTTTTTATGAGACATATTTAACTAATTTTTGAAGTATCTGAATCTGGCTATCAAACGAGGAAATCTAGATAGAATAACATAATAAGTATGTATTTAAAAAGTCACCATTTAAATCGAGAAAAAACTTTAGGAAATGAAAAAATTATCTTTTTTACCTATCTTTTCTATTTTTATGAAAATACAGTTAACCCTTATGCTTTAATTCTAACATTCCTTATTATCAGTCCCAAATTTTCCTTTATATATTATTTTAGTTGAACATTTTAATTTAAATAGACCAGCTTAATTTTTATGGAGACAATGAAAATTGCAAAAATTATGTAATTTCTCTCATAATAGAAATATTCTACATATTAATAAGAAACAACTAAATATTTTTAAATAATGTAATTTACCTACATACAGTATTTCATATATTATTGAAAAAAATACGTTTATTAAGTTTTAAGTGTTGTTGCAATTAAGACTAGGCAGTTCATTTTGTGTGTCTCATTTATTTTCTAAGCGGCTCAAAATTAAATAAATATGCAATATGGAGTTAAAATAAAAATGGAAGGGTATAAAAAAGGAATTTTAAAAATTAAGAATTAAGGCTTTCAATAGATAATTTTTAATACATTTCCATCACTTAGCAAATTTAACTTCAAAATTCTTATCCCTAGTTGGGAATTATACTTATCTGGAAAGTCATTTTAAAATATTGATCCTATAGCCCCAGTCCACAAAATTTCAGTTTAATTGGTTTGGGCTGGTCCTGGGCCTCAGTATTTTTAAAATATTTCTCCAGGTAATTTTGTGACACACAATTTTTAAAAACATATTCTAAACACTGCATATTTTTATAAGCTTTCAAATGTAATATTTTAGTAAATTCAACTGGGCCATTTAATTTTTTCTGGAAGAGTATTACAATGGTGAAACCTTTGGAGACAGGGAAATGGTAGAGATGTAGATATGGGAAACAGACACACTATGAATATTAAAATGTAGAGGATTAACTTCTAGGCCTCTACACAGCTACAAAAATATAATCAAAATCTTCTAAATATTCTTTTTCTGGCACTAACTTCAGACAGTAGAAAACAACTCCTACTTCTGGGACTGTGAAAGTTTTAGAAACTGGTCATTGAAAACACACAAAATATAGAGAAACACCAATAAGTTACATTACATCCTATACCTGTAGAAGAATCATAATATTTGAAATATCCAAAAATGAACATTTTTTCAGACTCCATCAGAAATGGCATGACAATTCCGATTCCTGGGGCAGAACTGTTTTGGAAACATTAAAACTTTAGCTCTGATGGAGGCTAGTTATTACATGGGGAAGTATTCACTATTAGGCTATCTCAAGAAATGCTTTATCCATCCTGAGAATATTTGGATTTTTCTGGGTAAAGAATGGGTGTGCTGGCTGGGCTCTGTGGCTCATGCCTGTAATCCCAGCACTTTGGGAGGCCAAGATGGGTGGATTACTTTCAGTTGAGAGTTCGAGAACAGCCTGGCCAAAATGGCAAAACTCCAACTCTACTAAAAACACAAAAAAATTATC